GATTTGATTTAAAAAAACTGCGAATTTAGTGGTTGTTTAGTATTATACGTAACCGCGAAGTCGAATGGAAGATAAATGAACTTGCAGTTCTCTCTCGGAGACGGTATTATTGACTCATTTTTCGGAACTATAGCACAACAAAAGCTATCAACAGTGTATATATATATCCAGGAGAAAAGTACTCACTTTTTTCCCACGGGAAAAAACTAATGAATAAAAGTGGCATTTTATAACCTGCCAACAGAGATGAAATGCCATTTTTTTCCAGTCACAGAAAAAATATACTTTTTCTGCAACCGACACAAAAGTCGTCCATTTTGATACCAAACTCAGCTCTTAAAATGACGTTTTTATTAGTGACACAAAAATAGGTATGTTGCTAGGCAACATATTTAGTTCCTAGGAGCTAAAGTTCAACTTTAGTTCCTAGGAGCTAATGTTCAACTTTAGCTCCTAGGAACTAAAAACGATGTACTGGACGTCATCAACAATAAACAACATTGTGACGGTTGGTTATTTGGGTTGAGACGCATATACCTGATTCGTTTCCGATTTCGGCAGATTCGGCATTTCATACCGATGCTGGAGATGTAAATATACCTTATCATAGTTGAGTATTGGAATTATTAACATCTCAGTTAAGTATTTTTGTTTCAATCAGGGAAGCCTTCAAGTTTCAATTACTTGTTTGATCTGTATTTCATTCGTTATTCTCAGGATGGATAATTTGTTTTTGAATAATCACGGCAAGCAATAGTTTTTTTGTCATAAACAACGATATTGTTCAGCTTCATTTGATAATCAAGTCAAACACAGTGTAGTGTACTCGATAGTGTAGTATGGAGAGGAATAAATAATCGCTATTATTATTGTTGATATGCTCATTTACCTAACATTTTCCACTTCTTGTTCCTATAACTGGCACTGGCGCGGTATTTGCCATTAGAGCACCTGGTCCATACACAAATATGTCACTCTGTGGTTGTATTTATATTGAAACAAGGATGGAGAGAAGATTCGAACATCCTTGAAAATTGAATAAACCTGCTGTTAATGCAGGTAGAATATTCTCACCACACGGATTATTTGTCAATATTTGTTGCATTGCATATACATATGGCACGTGGTTACTTCACATATTTATCTGAGTTAATTGTTTCGGTTGCAGAAACAATAGCATGTTTCATTTGGATCAAAAGTGACTTTGTTCGACTCGCAAATTCTGTTTTCGCTCGGCTTCGCTAAACGCTCCGCCTCGCAAATGCAAAATTCGCTTGTCAAACAAAGTGTCACTTTTGATCCTAATAAAACAATCTACTATTATTGTCTGAAGAAAAATAATTTTCATAGACGAAGTGGAACGTTCTCGGAAGAGAGCCAATGGGCTTATATCACGAAAAATTTTTATTTCATAATTCAATAGACCTCACCCAAACTAGCTCACCACCGCAAACCGTTTCTTGCTGTGAGCTCCCTACGTTTTATAAAAAATTATTGAAATCCCCGATTTTTCGGACCTCCGAAAACGAGGCGATGATGTGACGTCAAAACCCTAATACTGAAACAAGACTATTCCAGACAGAGATGAATGATACATGATTTCTGACAGAGTGAATTAGCGCGAGATCACAGTTGAAAGAATTAATATATCAGTTGCCTCAGTCTCCGTCGGGCTTTTGGTATTTTCTTTTAACTATGGCGATATGAGGTTTTTACGTCATTAGGAGGGTCCGTTTTCAGATGGTACTATTATTTATGTCCAAAAATAAAACATTCCAGTTAATTTTTCGATCGAATCATGTCGTCAATCATTATTTATGTATAAAAGGATCCTTATAAACATGGTTTGAGTTGAAAGTTCTACTAAGGTGTACACGCCCATTACTGGTTTATATTGCAAATACACTTGAACTGAACACCGATAAAAATCAAGAATTGTTGATATCATCCCACTCTAATATCTCGTCTGGAAACACTGTTACACTACTGGGCATTGTAATTGATGACAAACTCAATTGGGCAGCTCATGTGGAACAGTTGAGCCAAAAATTGTCTTCGATTACATTTTTGATTCGTAGAATAAAAAAAATTGTCAGTTCAGATGTTCTCAGATTCTCCTATCACAGTTTATTTCACAGTCATATAATGTATGGAATATTACTGTGGGCCAGATCATGTCATTCCCACATTCCCACAAAATATTCGTTCAAAAAAAAAGTAGTCAGAATTATGAGCGGTGCAAATTACAGAAACCATTGCCGTCCACTTTTTCGGAAACTTCAGATTATGCCAAATCAAAATGAAACGAGTCCTATTGTATGAATCACTGTTTCTATTCAGTGGATAAATTTCACAATTCAAATTTTTGTCTAGTGGTCATTGATGGAGAAGACGCTATTTCAACACAATTTTAATTTGTCAGTATTTTATAATGTATTTTTATATCCTATTTCAACATGTGATTACTATTTTTTACTTGAATGTTCGTGTTGTTTTTCATATATTCGTATATTAATATTCATAGTTGAATTCAAATAATATGACATGCTACAAATGTACATCGGTACGTGAAGTGGTGAATAAACTATCTATCTATCTATATATCTATCACAGTGTCTATAGCAAGAAAGTGGTGCTTCAATCATTCTCATATCGATAAAAAAAATAATAAAAGAAATAAAAAAGACAGTATCAATGAAATATCAATGAAAGTGAATGTTCTAAATTGATAACATAAACCTAAATGAATAAGAGTATTCCGTCAGGAGCTATCATGTCTTAAAAAAATCAACTTCTCGCGGAAAATTGACTAGTCACCCTGTATTGGAGAACCCCGATCGTCGGTCGGTCCGAATAGGTGGACACCGATAATTCAGAGGGCCTCCCGCGTCCCAGCGGGGCCGTATCTCGTCTCCCTTAACGGGGCCGGTTTTTTAAAGCTTCACAAGTGCCATAACTCGTATTTAACCGTATCAGGCGCAGATATACCTACCTATCGGGCGGGGTTTATCGATCCCGTGTGGTTCGGCTTATGACTGATAATTGAACATTTTTTATGAGCCGAAAGTAGGAAATTTTTTGGATGGCTATTGTGCAGTTCGGTACGTCACAGATTCAGCAAGATTTGATAAGTCACTCAATTTTTCTCTAAAGAATGAATGCAACACACATACCTTTAGAATTATTTGATCGATTCCTATGGAAGTCTCCAGGAATTAATTTGACTTGTTAAATCTGCTAGTGATTAAGTGAATATCTATTCCATCAAATTGGTTAAATTTGCAGAACCTGTGATATTGTCAACATTAAAACGGATACAGGAAGATGCTAGCGACGCAGATGTAATATGTCTGAGCTGTCTCAGCCTACCAGTTGGATACTTAAAATTTCACATCGATAATTTCTGATTTTAATATAATGTGATATCTTCCCAATATTGATTCGTGGTTTTCCCAGCCACAGAAAAAAATAGTGCATTATAATCGGGAAAATAATAGATTTCAACTCTCGGTTTTATGTATTCCTCCACTTATAGCGTCGAAAAACAACACAACCTCGAACTAGAATCCAATACTAATATTCTTCACTATCAAGGTACACAAGAGAAGAGAAATTTGCACTATAACATTGTAGTTTTATTCATTTGGTAATCAAACTTTATTTATAGTCCATCATAGTAGCAAAGAATATAATATTCGCTAAAATTTATTAGCTCCTAGGAACTAGATGTGTTGCCTGGCAACATACCTATTTTTGTGTCAGTAATAGTAACGTCAATTAAAGAGCTAATCTTGGTATTAAAATGGACGACTTTTGTGTCGGTTGCAGAATAGTAGATTGTTTTATTAGGATCAAAAGTGACACTTTGTTTGACAAGCGAATTTTGCATTTGCGAGGCGGAGCGTTTAGCGAAGCCGAGCGAAAGCAAAATTTGCGAGTCGAACAAAGTCACTTTTGATCCGAATGAAACATGCTATTTTTTCTGCAACCGAAACAATTAACTCAAATAAATATGTGAAGTTACCACCAATGCCGTGCCATATGTATGCAATGCAACAAATATTAACAAATAATCCGTGTAGTGAGAACATTCTACCTGCATCAACAGCAGATTCATTCAATTTTCAAGGATGTTCGAATTGTAGTTTCAATATAAGTACAATCACAGAGTGACATATTTGTGTATGGACCAGGTGCTCTAATAGCAAATACCGTGCCAGTGCCAGCTATAGGAAGAAGACGTGGAAAATGTTAGGTTAATGAGCATATCAACATTCAACAATGATAAGATTATTTACTCCTCTCTATAATACAATGTTTTTCGCTTAATAATCAAATGAAGCTAAACAATATCGTTGTTTGAGACAAAAAACTATTGCTTGCCGTGATTATATGAAAACAAGTTATCCATCCCGAGAATAACGAATGAAATACAGATCAAGCAAGTATTTGAATCTTGAAGGCTTCCCTGATCAAACAAAAATACTTAGCTGAGATGTTCATAATACCAATACTAAACTATAATAAGGTGTATTTATATCTCCAGCATAGGTATGAAATCTGCCGAAATCGGAAACAAATCAGGTATGCGTCTAAACCCAAATAACCAACCGTCACTATGTTGTTTATTCTTGATGACGTCCAGTACATCCTTTTTAGTTTCTAGGAGGTAAAGTTGAACGTTTGCTCCTAGGAACTAAAATTAAACTTTAGCTCCTAGGAACTAAATGTGTTGCCTAGCAACATACCTATTTTTGTGTCAGTAATAGAAACGTCAATTCAAGAGCTAATTTTGGTATCAAAATGGACGACTTTTGTGTCGGTTGCAGAAAAAAGTCATTGTACGGTCGGACCAGCCCCGAACGCAAAATTAGTGAGGAGTCAGTCACAGAAAATAAAGTTGTTGACCCTTCTACGTCTTCGCACCTTTCAGCATGTGGCCTTCAGGCAATCATTCCCTAATTTGCGTCTAAATCCCCGTGTTTTTTCTCCTGTTGCAGGGCTCGTTAGTCAGCCAGAACATGTCATCGGGCGTCATCATAAGCACGCACAGCCTGGTCCTCCAGAAGGTAACGAGATGGCAGAGTGGCTCGTACACCTGTCTGGCGGCGAATCCCAGAGGGGAAACAATCAGCGAGCCAGTCGTGCTACGCGTCAGATGTAAGTATCTTCGTAATAATGAGCGGTGGTGACCTTGGAAGTATACAGAACATAACGAAACGTCGACAATAGGGGACTAGACTTTTTTTTATTTCTTGAATAGAATCATCGGGAAAACAACCTCCAAATATGATGCCAATTGACAGTCATATGCCCGAGATCACCTTCCTCCAACGTACTATAAGGATAATTTTATTGGGTCTCAACACCAACAAAGCTTGTGGGTCTGACGGAATCCCACCGGTTGTCCTCAAAAAATGTTCTCCTGAACTAGCACTTGTTCTCTGCAAGTTGTTCAACTACTCCTACAAATTGGGGATATTCCTGTCCAACTGGAAAATTGCAAGAGCACAACCTGTTCCTAAAAGAGGCAAAAAGACCCTACCTAGCAACTACAGATCGATCGCACTGTTATCTATTATTTCAAAGATCATGGAGAAAGCTATCAACATCGAGCTCATGAAATACCTGGAACATTCAAGTATTATCAACGATAGGCAATATGGTTTCCGTCATCAGAGATCAACTGATGACCAGCTCGCTTACGTCTCACATATATGGCAGCAATCTATTGAAAAATATAGTGCAACCGTAGCCGTGGCACTTGATATCTCCAAGGCATTCGATCGAGTCTGACACCATGGACTCCTCGCCAAGCTTCCATCTGATGGATTGCCTCCCCAGCTATGTTCTCTGCTAGCTGGTTTTCTCTCAAACAGGTCTCTCTATGTAGTGGTCGACGGAGTTTCATCTGACTCTCTCATCATAAATGCTGGTGTTTCGCAAATATCAATTCTAGCACCAACACTATTTCTACTTCATATCAACGATTTGTTGGAAGCAACTTCATGGCCAGTACACAGCTTGATGATGATGATAGTATCCTCCATACCGCCTTCTCTTCCAGGGCTCCAATACCAGCCAGGCAAATCAAAAACGAACGAGGAAGAAATGTTGACAACATAAATATGGACTTGGCAACAACTCTTTCAATAACTTGGTAGATTTCAATGCAAACAAAACACAAGCATCCCTTTTCTCTAGGAAAGCATATCTCACTGTGCCCAACCAATGCCCAACATAAGCTTGTCAGGAGTAACCATACCTTTGAAGACATCCATTTCGATGCTTGGTATTACTATCAGCAATATCCTTTCTTGGGAAAATTACGTGAGATCAATTGCTAAAAGTGCATCCCAAAAACTTGTTTTTCTGTTTCTGTTAGCCAGGAGCTATTTCACTTCCAGTCAGCTGCTTATGATCTATAAGGCACATATCCGACCTGTTCTGGAATACTGTTTCCATATTTGGAGTGCAGCACCCAAACATACCCTGAAACTGTTCGATTCTGAAGAAAAGGCAATTTGTTTCGTGGGCGATGCCTCGCTCACAAACTCACTCACTTCTCTGGAACATCGTAGAAAAGTTGGCGATTTGGCTCTATTTTATAGATATGTTCATGGAAATATCAACAATTGTTCCTCCCTTGGCAGTCTCCGCGGGATTAACATGTCGAGTTGAAACTTCGCACCCCATCGTGGTCACTTTGGAGACCTGCAGAACATCTCTTTCTAAAGACTCGTTCATCCAACGAACAGCAAGGAGCTGAAACACATTGCCAAGGGTGGTGTTCCCCGAGGCATATAACCTCCAGAAAATAACGAAAAACACCAATTCCTACCTTATTTCCTTTGATTCTCACGATGTTCTCAGAACATTACAGGATATTATCCCTTCTTGTGGGAACCAGAACATAGAGATAAAAAAAATTCAAAATTCATAAATTCTTAATTGAGTATTGGTAATATTCCTAATTAGAAATGAAAATTCAATTGTCTCAAAATGTTCCTTCATGACTTGTGGTTTATTGCTTGTAATAAATTCGTGTAAATAATAATTATAATAATTCACACTAGAAGACATTTGAATCGGTGAAGGTGACAACCCTGCGCACGACTTGTGGGCGTGGTCTGGTCAGTTCTCATTATTCAGCACAATGTTGCCAAGTCTCCAACATCCACATGATATTTTGTTATGGAGAATAAGAAATATTTGGTTGCTCTAAAAAGTGGAGAATGAAATATAATGTCATGAGTTCCTCCTATTATATTTCATTCAATGACAGGGCTCAAACATCTTTTTGATAACTTGATCATAATTGGTGACTTGACAAATATGCTTCATGAGGGACAATGAAAGATTATCTGACCAATAACGAAACAGCATGAAAACTGACGTCACCATTTATTTGACGTATCGCCAAATGGCGGCCATGACGTTTCGTTTGGAATGAGCTCTGAATTCCAACGATTTTGAACATTACATAGACTCATTATTACCACAAAAAAATGCGTGAGAAGGCAGAAATCAATTCAGTTTTCTAACGACACAGTGGAGTAATTGAATGTTAATAATTCATTATCAGTCCACTGAGATCGTATTTTAACCCTTATATAACCCTTAACTACTAATCATACGTCTCAGAGACGGCACTGCATCAACCGATTTGTCTAATGACCCATCCCATTCAATATCAGCCCTAATCCTTCCAGATAATTTATGTTTACCCAGCAGTCCCACCATACCCATTCAGTAGCCTCTACATGATAAAAGTGAGTGGTTCATATTTCGGAATATCTGGAATGAAGGTTCGATTGCTGTCTCCTATAGACGCATTTTATGTTTTCAACTCAGTTTTTTTGTTTCCTTCCAGTTCAACTCTCACTGTATCCAGAATATCAATAAAATTATCGATGATTTCATTATTTTAGTTCGATAGATCATGTCAAAATGCGAAATTTAAGGGATAATATTATGACTGCCCGCAATTATATTGATAGTAATTCTCTCAAGAATCGAATAGATCCTGCTCAAAAGGAAGGAGCAGTTTACTATCAAGGATCACCATTCTGATCAATTCCTATATCGCAGGAGTTTCGTATAGATCGTGTAATTGTAAGCAATACCACTCGTCCTGCCAAACTCGTGGTGTTGCTCGGCAACACAATTTCGTGGGAACAATGAAGCGGCAGAATTATCTCGAATATTCAGAACATCCTGATATTACTAATGACAAATTTCACGATCAAAATAGAACTCCCGACAACTACAGCTCTAATAATTATTTTATGCCCAACTGACAGACTTTGCTTCGCTTTCCATAGTTACATCGTTGAAAACATCAAGGCTGATAGACGAAGCAGAATTGAAAGACAGTTGAGGTTTTCGCGATAAGCACACGTTGTATCTGGCTTGTGATTGGTACAAGTAAATACAAGTTGTATTGAATACACGTTTAGGCAGCTCAATTCAGTTAGAGGAGTACAGATAGTGCGACCATCTAGATCAAAGATGAGTTGAACCATGATAGCCGTTGCATAATTATTTATTTCTAACGTGTATTGAGTGTATTATATGAAGTAGTTAGTGTCCTTTTCGGATGTTTGGTACAATTTTCACTGGTGGACAGAGTGTACAGATTCCACTAATCTCAGATTCATATCGTAACAATTCCGTGTGACACAGGATGTAACAGCCTGTAGTTTTTTTATCTGGAATGATAAAAAATTCAAATTCACAAGGGTTAAATTATCGACGATGGCGCTTCCCTTGAACCCCATGACAGTTTTCTTCAACCACCTGTTTGATCGGAGGTAGACCCAACTTTTTTTTTCAAATGGCACCCTGTATATTTCTGTAGTCTTTCTTATTCGCCTCATTATTCTCTGTTCAACTGTGTATCACAATTTGATAAGCGAAATGATACCTACTGAAAATACACTGAAGTAGACTCATGAACAGATGTATTTGGACGATACATTGTTGTAATAATTGACAACAATTTCAGTTGCATGTATCCAAATGGATGATCATGGCTACATGGCAAAAATGAATATATAAATAGTTTCTTCACAAGTAGCCGAATGAAAAAAACTGAGTTTCTAACTTAGTTTTCTCAATATCATGAGTTATTTTTGGATGACTTCTTTAAACTCCATGAAATTATTGGCAATGTTTTGGGACCGATTAGGATATGGAAAATCGTATTCGGGCAACAGCCAACTTCATGTATTTCAATAAAATGCAATTTAACAGCAAATTAATGAACGAATATCAAATTGTGATACATAATTGAATAGAGAATTTCAAGGCGAATGAGATAGGCTACAGAAATGTACAGGGTGTCATTCAAAAAAAAAAAGTTGGGTCTTCTTCAAATCAAACAGGTGGTTGAAGAAAACTGTCATTGGGTTCAAGGGAAGCGCCATCATTGATAATATATTTGTGAATTTAAAATTGTGATCTCTTTAAATGAAAAAACTACAGGCTGTTACATGTTTTCTGTGTCACCCGGTTTATCATGCTGTAGTCTTTGTTTTGGAATATCTAGGCTTCATCTATATAGCCTGTTTATTATCCATGTTCGTTCATCTGAGGTACGCATTGAAAGGCCTAAAATTCCATAGACGTTTCTACGGCAACCGAATAAACGCAGTATGCAATTACATGCATAATAATTGTTCGGTAACACGGATGCGTCCCGAATGTAGATGGATTTGTACAGGTTGTCCACTGTGAGTGGACCGATTCAAAATATCTTGTTTCAGTATAGCATCGGTTACTGAAACAATAGTGTTGAATTTTCCCGAGGGCTCACACTCCTGTCTTGTGATTTGAAATCCATGAAAAGGTTCATGAGTTATCGTCTTGAAGATGAAGAAGTAACCTAACCCTAATCGCTTGTAGAGTTCTTTATCTAGATTTGTTGAGACATTGACAATTTGCAGAACGCATACATAGTATTAACTATTCGAATAGAGTATAGACCAATCAGAACGGTAAAGTGATATGGCACATAAACGCAATATTTCAGTTCAGATACCAAACTTCTTAGCTCTTCAATACTGATTGAACTAGATCTCATAACTAAGAGAACTATAGGATCAACAGAGTTGCTCCAATTGTCAGCAGGAGCGAGACAATACTTTTTCGGCCCACCA